AAAGGTGAAGTCAGAGGAGCCCTCTGGGAAACCAAGGAAGACACAGGGGACGGCGCGAGGCGAGATCTTGTCCGCAGAGGTGTCGCGGACAAGAGCCAAGCAGCCCCAGACACTAAACCTCGACGCAACACCAGGGGACCCTGTCCAAAGACTGGTCGGTGAAGCCCCTGGCCGAGAGACGCGAGGCCAGAGGTTCAGCTGGTGAGCGGCGTACCGAGCCGCGTAGGGCCACAGAAAATGGGGCGCACGGGCATGGATCATGGAGGTGCGGGCGATCTCCATGACCAGGCCTAAGCGGCGCTCAGCAACCCCATTCTGCTGTGGAGAGTCTGGAAGAGTCCAGGACTGGGTGATGCCCTGCTCAGCACAGAATCTGGCGAGAATGCCGGAGCGAAACTCACCCCCACGGTCGGAGTGGAGACAACTGACACGACGACCACGAGTGCCCTCGGTGGCGAGGAGCCACCGGATCAGCGTAGAAGTCACGTCGGACTTCTTCGCCAAAGGGAACACGGTGGTGTACCGAGAGTAATCGTCAACGACCACCAGAAAGAAACTCTCCCGCTCAGGGCCAAGGCGGGAGGCGGGGCCCCAGACGTCTAAGTGGAGTGTCTGGAAGGGCTCGGTGGCCGGACGAAGGGAGGAGGAGTGAGGGGTGGCGCGAAGCCGACCCTGGACACAAGGACCGCACGGAGGAGCTGGGGACGGCGGGAGTGGCGGGAGGACTCGGGGGAGGCCTAAGACAAGACGCTGACTGGACATGGCGCGCAGACGAGGAAGGGACGGGTGCCCCATCCGGTGGTGCCACAGAACGGTGGGGTGGGCAAGCGACCGACACGAGCACGACGCAGCAACTACACCTGACACAGCAACCTGACTGGACCCGGCTACCTGGTGGGACGGGGGAACCTGACGGGGGTCGGTGCGGAGGGTGTACAGACCAGAGCCCGGCTCCTGGCGGAAAGTGGCCAAGGGGGCGTACGTGTCACCGTCGACGCAGACTGCGGTGTCACCAGAAGGCTCAACCCAGACACCGACGTGCTGTCTCGCCAAGGTGCCCACACCAACCAGGTTCCTAGAGAACGTAGGAACGTGGAGGCCGGTCAGGGAACCAGAAGGAGCAGCTGGGCACGGGAGAGTAGTGGCGTGAGTCGCAATGACCGGTCCCGAGGAGGGATCGGCCAGTGCTACAGGGACAGGCGCCGGTAGCGGAGAGAGAGTCGTGCAGTCGCGGAAGAAGCAGTGCGACGCTCCCGAGTCCAGTGTGAAGGAGAGAGACGCGTCCGCCGAGGGAGTACCTGTACTAGTAGCTAAGCAAGATCCTACACTAGCACCTACTCTAGCAACAGGCAAAGATCCTAAGCTAGGTACAGGCAAGTACACAGATCCAGGAGCACTATAGTCAACATCAGCATACATGGCATAAGACCTAGCATCATCCATAGTCATATCAAAAACAGCAATACCACGAGCAAGCAGCGTCCCCCAGCGTGGCGGCGGGGGAGCGGAGGGGCCGTGGTGCAAGCGGTAGAGGTCGTCGAGACGACTGAAGCAGTGAGCAGCAGAGTGGTCGGGGCGGCCACAGTACGTGTCCCTACGAGGACCCGTAAGGATCCAGTACTCACAGGGACCAACGTCGCGGCCGGCCGCGCGAGGTCCCCGACTGGAGGGGGCGCCACCGCGCCCAGTGCTCGGGGGACCCGCAGACCTCCACTGCTGCGGAGGGCCCCACTGCTGCGGAGGGCCCCACTGCTGAGGCTGCTGCTGCGGTAGGCGCTGCTGCTGGCCCTGTCGCTGCTGCTGCTGCTGTCCCTGCGGTGGCAGCTGCTGAGGAGTCGGCTGCTGCTGCTGCTGGAACCCCTCACCACCAGTGAAAACTCCACCGTCGAAAGGAGGGCCGTCAGGTCCCGAGCCACCCCCACCACCACTCCCACCACCTGCTCCACCGCCACCGCCACTACCCGCACCACCTCCAGTACCCCCGCCGCCCTTCCCGCCCTTCTTGCCGGCCTTGCCACGTTTCTGTCCGCCAGAGACAGAAACAGCCGCCGTCTCCTCAGAGGCAGAAGACGTGGGAGTGGCAAGGGAGGCAGAGAAGGTGGGAAGCTGTGGTACCGCACACCCCTCAAAAAGACGAGGAGGAGGCGCGGAAGAGGCAGAGGCAACGGTGAGGAGGTTACTCTCGATCTTCGAGAGAGCGGTCTCAAGAAGATCGATTGTAAGCTCAGTGGGGTGCTTCAGAAGAATAGCTCAGTGGGCTGTGGCTAGGCGGTCAGGGAGGCGAGTGACTAGCCAGTGAATAGTGAGCCACATAGGGGGCGGGGCAAGGGCAAGCTGGTCCTCAGTGCAAGCAGCGTGAAAACGAGCGTCAAGGAAGCGCAGGTGAGTAACGAGGTCAGAGACAGTCTCAAAGGAGGCGAGGTCAGGGTAGATAAAGGGTACGAGGAGGCGACTGAGCGACGCAGAGGAGGGAGTAGAGTAGCGAGCAACAATAGCCTTATACAGATCTGCAGCAGACTCGACCTGAGCGAAGTGGACTGCCTCTGTCGGCGGGAGAAGGTCGGTCAGGGCGAGGCAGGCAGCGGCGTCACGAGACTCCCACACGTCGCGAGCGAGGAGCTGGCGCTGGTACTCGGCCTCCTGCTCAGGAGTAGGCGGTGGGGTAGTGGGCAGCGGGCTAGGCTGCTGGGGAGCGGTCTGAGTACCGGATGCGTGTGCGAACAAGTGCACGCCATCCTGCCGCTGGCTCTTAAGGTGGCGCTGCGCCTGCGTAAGCCACGTGCTAAAATCTATAGGTCGCCCTTCAGGGTCGAAACGAAGTACTCGGGAGGTCGCCATAGAGGGCGAGACTGAGAGAGCGCGGATGCCAGCCGCAGGAGGGGGGGACAGTCAGTAGCGAGGATGTAAGCTCGCAGGCGTGCAGGCGAGGAGGAGGCGTAGCATGTGGACAGGAGGGCTGCTCAGCTAGTGGACTGGAGGGCGGCGCGGCGGGCTGGCCTATGGGCGGCGCGGCGTGCAGGCCTACGGGCTGGACGGTGGGTCGACGGACGAGCCTGCAGGCGGCGCGACGCGCTGGCCTACGGGCGACGCGACGCGCGGGCCTGCGGGCTGGACGGCGGGTCGACTGGGCGGGCCTGCAGGCGGCGCGACGCGCAGGCCTACGGGCGACGCGACGCGCGGGCCTGCGGGCTGGACGGCGGGTCGACCTGGCGGGCCTGCAGGCGGCGCGACGCGCAGGCCTACGGGCGACGCGACGCGCGGGCCTGCGGGCTGGACGGCGGGTCGACGGGCGGGCCTGCAGGCGGCGCGACGCGCAGGCCTACGGGCGACGCGACGCGCGGGCCTGCGGGCTGGACGGCGGGGCGACGGGCAGGCCTACGGGAGGCGCGACGCGCGGGCCTACGGGCGACGCGACGCGCGGGCCTGCGGGCTGGACGGCGGGGCGACGGGCAGGCCTACGGGAGGCGCGAGCGACGGGCAGGCCTACGGGCGACGGGCAGGCCTACGGGACGGTACGCTGGCGTGGGCGTTGTCGTGGCACGGGCTAAGGCGTTTTAGGTCAAGTGTCGATCCTAGGAGGCGACCTAAGTCTAGGAACGGCGCCAATTTGGTGAGGCCTAGGAACGGAGAACCTACTTCTGATACCATCTCAGTAAGTGAAAACAGCGGAATGAGTAGCATTGATTGGGTTGGGGTACATATGCCTAACCCTAACTGCTTGTACCCCATATAGCATGACCCACAATAGGGTATAACATTTGACAGTAATCACCAACAAGTGGCGAGGCGTCGAGCGAGGCGGATGGCACCCACGTGTCGTCCTCACTGGTGCGGTCAGTCCAGCAGATTAAAAAATCCACGTGCTGGCCAGCAGCGTCAATGCGGACCCGATGTGCGAGAATCTTCGAAGGGTCGAGTGTCGGCTCCGGGACAGGTCGTGCTGTTGGCGCAGCCTGCTGACGTGCAATGTCGGTTGTGGCAGGCACAAATTTGCGAGAAAGGCTGACGTGGAAGGCGTCGTGAATTCGCCAGTCGTCAGGTGGCAACACCTTCGCGGTGACAGGTGTCACCATCTTGATAATCTTGAAGGGTCCGCAAAATCGTGGCCGTAGTTTTGTTGGGCCGGGCAGGTTCAGGTTCTTCGTGTCAAGGAGCACTAGTTGCCCAGTGGTCAAGACGAGTTTCCGGCGTAAGCGGTCGGTGTATTTGCGGGAAGTAATATTCGCCTTGCGAATTGCATCTGCGGCTTTTTCGCGGATGCTCTGTAGTTCCATCACAAGAGTCTGTGATCGTGGGACGGGGTTGTCGCCGTGGGAACCGTCCGATCTATCCCGTAATTTAGGAAAAACGGGGAGTGATTAGTCGTGCTTGACGGTGCGTTGTTAAAGGCGAACTCCAACATGGCGAGAGAATCTTCCCAGCGGGCGGGGTCGGGGCAGTTTGTCCGTATGAGCTGCTCGATGGTCTGATTGGTCCGCTCGGTTTGGCCGTCCGTCTGCGGGTGGTATGCCGAGGAGAACTGTAGTTTCGTGCCGTACTGCGCCCACGTTTCCTTCCAAAATTTCGGTGTAAATTTCGGGTCGCGGTCGCTGATGATCGCCGAAGGGATGCCGTGCAGTCGCACGACCGTTGAGATGAAGAGGCGCGCAGTTTCTTCGGCTGTGATTGTCGTTCGGCATGGGGCGAAGTGCGCCATTTTCGTGAAGCGATCGACGACGACGAGAACAGCGTCGTTGCCGGACGGCCCAGCTGGCATCCCCGTGACGAAATCCATCGTCACTTGCTGCCACGGTCGTTCGGGTGGCTCGAGGGGTTGCAGCAGCCCAGCTGGTCGTTGACGTGTCGATTTCATGGCTTGGCACACCCTGCATGAGGACACATAGCGCTGCACGTCGTTAGAGGAGTCAGGCCAATAATATTGACGGTGCGGTAGCTTTTGGGCTTTGTCAACCCCGAAGTGTCCGGAGAAGTTCGAATCGTGGACCTCCTGGATAAGGAGTTCACGCAGCAGCCGGTAAGCGGGAACCCAAATCCGGTCGGTTCCGGCTTTTAGGTAATAGTCCCCTTTCTGCGTCGTGGCCTGCTGGTGATTTCCACTGGTGAAAAACGGGTCCGTCGTGTAGCCATGGGTGAATAGTCCGGTAAGTAATGGGTTCGAATGGGTGATAAGTACTGCAGCGGATTGTACGGTCGGTCTGGTCAGGGCGTCGGCGATGTTATTCGCCCCTTTCTTGTACGTGATGCGGTAGGTGAAGTGGCTCTCCATGTAGTCCAGCCACCGAATTTGTCGCGGGTTGAGGTTGGGCTGGGCTCGCAGGTACTGTAGGGACTTGTGGTCCGTGCGCACAGTGACGTCGGCGCCCACCAGGTAGCAGCACCACGGTTTGAACGCGTGAATAATGGCGAGCATCTCCTTGTCGTGAATCGGGTAGTTGCGCTTGGCAGCCTGCAGCTTGCGTGATTCGTAGGCGATCGGCTGCAGCCCGTTCCCGAAATCTTGGAGTAGCACAGCCCCAATGGCGAAATCTGAGGCGTCGGTGACGACCTTGAACGGCTTCGATGGGTCGGCGATGCGCAGCACAGGAGGGGAAACGAGAAAATTCTTGAGCTCCTGGAAAGCCGCCTCTGCCTCCTCCCCCCACACGAAATTCTTGTCCTTGTGCAGCAGGTCGGTCAGCGGGCCGGTTATCCCCGCCATATTCGGGATAAACCGCCGGACATAATTCACGAACCCCAGAAAACTTTGAAGTTCCGTGACATTAGTCGGGGACTTCCACTCCTGTATGGTCTTGATCTTCGCCGGGTCAATTTTAATGCCGTCGCGGGAGATGACGTGCCCCAAAAACTCCAACTCTTGCTTAAAAAACTCGCACTTAGAGCCCTTGGTGATGAGGCGGTTCTCCTGCAACCGCTTAAACACTGCGTCCAGGTCGCGGAGATGCTGCTCCCGTGTCTTGCTAAAAATGAGGATATCGTCTAAGTAGACGATAACACATCGGACTAGAAGATCCCGAAAAAACCCTGTTCATGGTGAGTTGAAATGTCGAAGGCGCGTTTGTGAGGCTGAAAGGCATCACCGTGAACTCGTAACTCCCGTAGCGGGTGCGAAACGCGGTCTTGTGACAGTCGTCGGCGAAGACCCGAATCTGGTGGTAACCGCCACGTAAGTCGATTTTCGAGAAGTAGCGAGCGCCGCGAAGTTGGTCAAGAAGGTCGTCGGTGCGTGGGATTGGGTAGCGAGATTTGATGGTCACCCGGTTCAACGCGCGATAGTCGATGCACATGCGAAGCCCGCCGTCCTTCTTCGGAGTGAACAGGATCGGTGCCGCGAATGGGGAGGTGCTCGGCCGAATGAACCCTTTCTCCAACAGTGCGTCAATTTGTCGGCGCAGCTCCTCGAGTTCCGGCTGGGTCAACCGCCACTGTGTCCGAACAGTTGGTTGCGCGCCAGGTTCCAGCTGGATTTTATGGTCTTCGGGTCTCTCGGGTGGCAGCCCAGGTGGCAGATCGTCCGGGAAAATGTCGGGGTACTGTCGAATCAGCTCCGCTAAATCCGGAGGGACAGCTGCACACAGCTTCTCGATGTCCTTTCCGTCGGTGTCGACTGCCAACTCGCGTAAGCAGACGGCGAACAGCTGCGCTCCCCGGTTGAAGTGGCAAGCTATAGTGATGGCCTTGATGCACGGGGCTTGGATGTAGTCAGGTGTCCATGCAGACAGTTTAACTAACCCCTCGTGCTTGCTGATGCTGCACGATCCCGTGGTCCAGTCGGTGGCGGGGTTGTGTCGTCGCAGCCAATCACGTCCCAGCAGCACATCGCAGCCGTCCAGCGTCGTCGCGAGGAACTTCATGCTGAAGCCGAAATCGTCGCCGCATTCGACTGATTATCCACATGATTATCCCCGTTATTCGGCCGAGTGCGATCGATTGCATGAATCGGAACCACGACTCGGTGGGGATGATGGTGTTCGGGCGACGGAGCACAGTCAGTAAAGGGCCCGCTAATTACTGACTCTTCCCATTTCCCTGCTCCTTCCTGTCGTCCCCTGTCAGCGGCATTTTCTCCCGGCAGTCTTTCTTGTAGTGACCCACCTTCCCACACCGGAAACACTGACCCTTAGGAGGGCGGTCGGGTGTATGGACGGCGTTGATTGTGGCCCGATGGGTCTGGCCACGAAAGCTTCTCCCATCCCTGGAAGCTGTTCTCGCGTACTGCATCAGCGCATCTGTTGACTCCGCCAGCCGTACAGCTTCAAGAAACGATGTCGGGCGGCCCCTGCGAACCTCGTACTGTATCTGTATTTAAGGCCGCTGATATATTTATCCAACCGCTCTGCTTCCGACATGTCATCCACTTGGTCGGCGAGGCCCATAAATGACGCTGTGTAGTCTTGGACAGAAGCCATCTGCGACCATGCACGCAGCTTCATGCGAGCTTGCTCCGAGGCGGATACGTGCTCGAAGCGATCTCGTAAGGCTGCGCCCCACTCCTTCCACGTGCGAATCTTGGTCACACCGAAGATAAAGTTCTGCCATTTGATGAACCACTGTAGAGGTCCCGTCTGCCGCATGTGTCACACCTGTCGGCGTCCCTGTTTCCAAGGTTCGGCGCCACCATTCAAGCGCTGCACCTCGAAGAAGCGAAACCGCGTAATTAATACGCGTGGCATCGTCGTTAACGCCTGCTGCCGTGAAGAAGACCTCGACACCGAACAACCACCTCTTCACTGTCATCGTCTTGTCCGTAGGATTAAACGGGGGCGGGTTGGCAGGCTTGACCTTAATCGTCGTTACTGCAACTGGCGCTGCTGCCGCTCGCTGCCTGTTGTCAGAATGTTGTAATTGTCTAGCCTGCAGTGGGGTACTCTATAGCGGGTACAACCCCAACTAGGGTTTCATATTTGTACCCAAACTTCTGCTAGTTCAATCATTCTTGCCTAGCTATTCTGACATGGTAACAGAGCGTTCACGCTCCTGGCCTGTGGGCCCCACTGCTGCTTCCGCTGCCCTACTCTGTGTCGCGCGCCCCGTGGCGCGCGACCTTCACATTTTCCTCCCGCACACTTCCCTGTGTCTTCCTTGGCTTTGTTCCTGACGCGCCGGGCTGGCAGTTTTACCACCCCACCTCGCGCCGGGTCTTCGCCTCTCAGGACGTCACCTTTGACGAGTCGGTCCCTTTTTACCGTCTCTTCCCCTACCGCACTGCCCCCCTCCCTCCCCCGCCGCTTTTCCTTGCTCCTGGTCCCCCTCCGGTAGACCCCCTTCCCCCTCAGGGTCCTGCTCCTTCAGGTGTCTCTCAGGTAGACCCTCCTCCCGTCGCTGAGCCTGTCGAGTTCACAGGTGACTCAGGTGCTGCTGCGGGTGGTGCTGCTGGGAGTGCTGAGCCTGGGGGTGCTGAGCCTGGGGGTGCTGGGCCTGGGGGTGCTGGGGCTGCAGGTGCTGGGACTGAGGGTGCTGGAGCTGAGGGTACGGTGCCTGAGAGTACGGAGCCTGGGGGTGCTGAGCCTGGGGGTGCTGAGCCTGCGGGTGCGGGGCCTGGGAGTGCTGGGACTACGGGTGCTGGAGCTGAGGGTACTGTGCCTGAGAGTTTGCCGCCTGGGGGTGCTGAGCCTGGGGGTGCTGCGACTGGGGGTGCTGAGCCTGCGGGTACTGAGCCTGCGGGTACTGAGCCTGGGGGTGCTGCTACTGAGCCTACGGAGCCTCGGGTTACTGCGTCTGGGGGTGCTCCGGTTCGGGGTGCTGAGCAGTCTCTCACACCGCAGCAGCTTCGTGACTGGTACGTCCGGCGCTTTCGCCGTCCTAGTGGCTCGGCTGGAGTTGGGGGTGCTGGGGCTGCTCGTCCTGGGGGTGCTCGTACTGGGGGTACTGGAGCTGCCGGGACTGGTTGTTCTGGGAGCACTGCGACTGGAGCTGCTGGAGCTGGGGACTCTGGCGCTGGCGGTGCTAGCGGAGTTGGAGCTGCCGACTCTGGGGGTGGCGCTGCTGCTGGTGCTGCGGACCCGCCTGGTGGAGCTGCTGCTGGAGCTGGGGACCCGAGCGGTGGCGCTGCTGCTGGTGCTGGGGACCCGGACGTTGGAGCTCCTGCTGGTCCTGAGGACCCGGCCGCTGGAGTCTCTTCTGCTTCTGGAGACGCTGCGCGGCCGCGACCGTACTTCGTACCGCTCCTTCAGCAGGTTCTTGGGCAGGCTCCTCCTCCTTGTCCTCCTCCCTCCGTAGAGTGTCCTCCGCCTGTCCAGCCGCAGTCACAGTTACCGCCTGCCTCGCCTCTCCCTGCTCCCTCTCCTTACGCTGGTCCCACAGGAGGTCTTACAGAGCGTCGTGAGCCTGAGTCTCGTCCTGCGTCGCCTGTTCGTCCTGCTCGCACTGGTAGTCGTGTCCGTCGTGAGCGTCCTCCTCCTGTCCCAGGCACTCACTACATGACTCTGCGTCCCTCTACTGCTCCTCGGCGTGTCCCTCTACCGTCTCCTCCTGCGTCCTCTTTGCCTGCCGTTCCGGACCCTGAGTCTGACCGGTATCGCGCTGAGCACCCTACAGTCACGCGTCTCCTCGCTACTGTTGTCACTGACCCTACCTTTGAGTCCTCGGCTGCGTCTGCTTTGGTCGCTGAGTTGGTTGACTTTGCTGCTGCCTGTCGTCTAGACTACGCTGCTAGCCTTGTTGCTGAGTCAGAGTCTGCGTCTGTCTGTCCTCCGTCCGTCGGGGGTGAGTGTGCTCTTGGCACGGACGTCCTTGAGGACAGGCAGGAGGACTTTGACTCTCTTGCGGCTGCTGTACCTCATCTCGTGGCCTGGTTGCTTGCCCCTGAGGGAGACCCGGATGCACTAGACATCCCCACTCCGCGCACTTACGCAGAGGCGATCTCGGGTCCCTACTCCTCTCAGTGGCAGACAGCCATGGACGCAGAGATGGCATCCTGGAAGTCCACAGGCACCTACGTCGACGAGGTTCCCCCTCCTGGGGCGAACATCGTCGATGGCATGTGGATTTTCAGGGTGAAGCGGCCGCCAGGTTCTCCGCCTGTCTTCAAGGCTCGTTACGTTGCTCGAGGCTTCAGTCAGCGTCAGGGGGTCGACTTCTTCCAGACCTTCTCCCCCACCCCGAAGATGACCACTCTTCGGGTTCTGCTGCACGTTGCTGCTCAGCGTGACTACGAGCTTCACTCTCTTGACTTCAGCACAGCGTTCCTGCAGGGCAGCCTGCACGAGGAGATCTGGCTGCGCCGCCCACCTGGCTTTACTGGGTCGTTTCCCCCTGGTACCCAGTGGAGTCTCCGTCGGCCAGTCTACGGTCTCCGCCAGGCGCCACGTGAGTGGCACGACACACTGAGGACTACACTTGCGGCTCTTGGGTTCGCGCCGTCTACTGCTGACCCGTCGCTGTTTCTGCGCACAGACACGTCGCTGCCGCCGTTCTACATTCTCGTGTACGTCGACGACTTGGTCTTTGCTACTGCTGACACTGAGGCACTCGCTCGTGTGAAGTCGGAGCTGCAGAAGAGACACACCTGCACTGACCTGGGTGAACTGCGTAGCTACCTTGGCTTGCAGATCACCCGGGACAGAGCTCGCCGCACCATCACCCTGACTCAGTCACACATGGTGCAGCAGGTCCTTCAGCGCTTCGGCTTCCAGTTCTCCTCACCACAGGCCACACCTCTGGCTACCAGCCACTCGCTCTCAGCTCCACCTTCGGACGAGTCCGTAGAGCCGAGTGGCCCGTACCCAGAGCTTGTAGGCTGCCTCATGTACCTGATGACTTGCACGCGACCTGACCTCGCGTACCCTCTTAGCATCCTTGCTCGTTACGTTGCGCCTGGGAGACACAGGCGAGAGCACTGGGAGGCTGCTAAGAGGGTGCTGCGTTACCTGTGCAGTACATCAGGCATGGGGCTGGTGCTTGGAGGACGTGACAGAGTTTTCCTCACTGGTCACTCGGACGATTTTTGGGTGGACGACCTGGCTACGCAGCGGTCGTCACAGGGTTACACCTTCAGCCTTGGCTCTGGTTCTGTCTCGTGGCGGTCCACCCGCTCTTCCTCTGTTCTCGGCTCTAGTTGTGAGGCTGAGATCTACGCCACAGCCATGGCTGCACAGGAGTTACGCTGGCTCACCTACCTGCTGACTGACTTGGGAGAGCGGCCTAGTTCTCCTCCAGTTCTGTACGGTGACAACAAGGCGGCTCTTGCCTTGTGTCAGGAGCACAGACTGGAGCACAGGACGAAGCACATTGCTCTTCGCTACTTTCTTGCTCGAGAGCTTCAGCAGCGCGGTCAGCTTCGGCTTGTGTACGTGGACTCGAAGGCCAACACTGCTGATATCTTCACCAAGGCGCTCCCGCCTAGTGATCATCAGCGGCACTGTACTTCTTTAGGCCTTGTGTCCACGTTTCCTCACTTGCTCACTGCTTGACATTCTTTGTACTGTACTTTATATATATCTTGTTGCTTGCTTGCTAGGTTTTGATCACTGTGTTGCTTGTCTTGTACTATATCTAGCACTGCATGTGAACTGGCCTTGTGGCCTTTACTTGTGCTCGGAGTGTGGTGACGTTGTGATCCACCCTGGGCTTTGCTTTGCTTTGCTGGACTGGTCTTGTGACCCTTTGTTCTCCCCCACTTTGCCTATGGGGGTGTGTTAAACTGTATTATGCTTGTAGGCTGTAGTGGGGTAGCCAATATGGGGTACAACCCAAATTAGGGTTTCATATTTGTACCCAAACTTCTGCTAGTTCAATCATTCTTGCCTAGCTATTCTGAAACCTGTCTTCTTCTTCGAAGTCACGTTTGAGCACATCCAGCGAATTGCGCATCGCCTGACTGTTGCCCTCGCCTTCGTCCACAGGCGACTCCTGA